GCGGGTTTAGGACGTATAAGGAGCTGATTGGAGGCCCCCTTGTGCAGGCGGGAAAGGTTCAGGAGGTTGTATCCCGGGCTGGAGAGGGAAGGAGGAGGAAGTGGTCATTGGGAAGATTAGCTGTTGTTCGGGGGATTCAGCCATGTTGGATCAGGGCCGTGATAATTTAGCAGTCTGTACTGGACCATAACCTCTCAGTTTTATCTGTAAGAACCTTAAAGATTTAAGATCCTGGAAGAAGAGCAGGCCTAAAGGAGGGAAAGAAGAATTGTAACTTTAGATAAGTTCAATTATGTTTGCAAGCTGCAGTTATCTTAAAATTACAATTTCAAAATGAAAATATCCTTGTCTCCTTTAACCTTTCTTTATTTCCTCTACCTCACTTCCATCTCAAATAGTCCTGTTTCTCCTTTCTTGCTTAATGAATCCCAGTTTATCCCTCAGTCCTCACTCAGATGTCACTATTTGAAAGCTTTCACAATCCATTTACGGATTCTTCCCTATTATACTCTTGTACATTGTATCTCTAGAACGTAAGAAATTATGGGGCTTGCGATTTATCAATTAATAGCTGTCATTTCTGCTGACCTGTGCACACCACAAACATGTCATTTTTCTGCCTCCTTTGTAATGTGAAGTATAGTTCCATGCAGATAGGTGCTCAGTCATCGCATAAGGAAGGACTCCTAACTTAATTTCAGTTTGAAACCAGCTATGTAGAAATAGAAGTTACTCATTAGCAATATTTACTGGCTAGGGTGTGGTTCTAAGATAAGGAACTAAAAGTCTTCAACAAATCTCCTTGGTTCTGTGTGGGTAAGCTCTTGAGAGAAGTTCGATTTCTGAGCAAGTATTTTTGAGGAAATCTGGTTGAGAAAAAAAAAATCCCAGGACTACATGTCCAATAGGAAAGTCTGTAAGAGCTAGATACATCTGCCGGTTTACCAGTGTTTCTAACTTCCTGCTGGGCTGAAACTTCTTGTTTTGTGGAAGAGCAGATCTCGACAGTAGGCATCCAAGATGAAGAGTCTCCAAACATTTGAGGAGCAAACAGAATGCGTTGTCAACACTTTACTCAGAGACTTCTTGAGCCCAACATTAGAGGTTGCTAATCGGAATCTATGCAGTGTAGAGGAACCAGACACAGGTAAGCCCTATTTTCAGGTCAATAAGAGAGCTTGGGTATGTTTTCTTCAGTTCCTCTTTTAGCAACACCTGAAAAGAAAGATTCTCATTGAAGGAAGACTTTTGACTACCATGACTCAATGTCAACAGGACACTGAAGTTCTTGGGAGAAAACAATGCCAAGATTGTTTATAAGACTGGAGAAGTGTTTCCATTCCTCAGATTCCTACGAATATTTCCATCCCTTCAAGTTGTGACAAATGTTGTCTTCTCTGTCGTAGGAGAGGCTTGTTCTTTTGATGCGGCTATCATTGCTGGACGACTTCGGATGTTAGGTGACCAGTTCAATGGAGAAATAGAAGAGTCTGTGAAAGACATCATTGCAAAAACTGCTGAAGGACAGGTCAGGTTCTTATCTCCTGTATTGTTTGCTGCTCTTTCCTATTTCAAGCTTCCTTTTTTTCTTCCTACTCTTATGAACTGTGAGTATGAATGTTCAGTGAGAGGTTTGGGATTTTGGAATTATCCAAGGGGTAACAGCAGGAAATGCCAGCTCTGTAGAAGTTAATCAAAACCTCTGTGGTACAGAGATGGAAACTGGAGAGGAATGATCAACTTTTAGCTTTATTCCAGTTGGTAGTCATCAAAGCTGTGCTTGGTTTGCACATAGCACTTTATTCTCAGCAAACTATCCTTTATGCAGGCTTCAAAACTTTTTTTTTTTTTGAGGGTAGGCACCTTCCTCCCCAACACTCCATGATTCAGCAGTGAAGTGCGAACAGAAAAGATGGGGAGAGTTTGTAAGTATGATACAGGGCTGGGGAGTTAGCTCAGTGGTCTAAGCGCCTGCCTGGCAAGTGCAAAGTTTCGAGTACAGTCCCCAGTACAGTACGCAGTGCTGGCTCTGGAGCCCCAGCTATGCCGTGCTGGCCACTGAAACCAGGGGTGGTGAATGCCTGTAATCCCAGCACTGGGGAGGCTGAGACAGGAAGATCACTATGAGTTGGACCTGCGTAGCGAGACCCTGTATCAAAAAATTTTTTTAAAAATTTTTTTTAAATTAAATAAAAAATGCAAGTATGATTCAAATAGAGATAAGCCCAGACTAAGTGCACTGGTGTTTTGTCAGAACCCTGATTATCAGTAGTGGCACTTAAAATTGCTGTAAAAATATAAGGCAGCATTCTAGACGTTGCAGATTAATAACATGGCAGCTCATATTAACTCACCACTGACTGTGTGTCACTTAATCATTTTAGCTCTGAATGAATTATCCCAGAAACTGTTATCCCTAGAGCTATCTCACTCCAACTGCAAACAACACTCTAAAAGCAAGCATCTGAGAGCAAACATCTGGTTTGTTTGCTGCTATATTCATGTAACTTTTTTTTTTTTTTTTATCTTTTAGGGAAGGGTCCACAGGGTCTCAGGGTCTCACTACTAGATTGGACCCACAGTGATCCTCCTGTTTTCAGCCTCCCAAACACTGGGATTGCAGGTGTGTGTCACCACGCCCAGTCTCAGTCACTGTCTCAATGCTCCCTCAGGCCGGAGCCAGCACAGCACCGGGGGATCGAACCCCAGTCCTTGTATCTGCCTAAACAGGCACTTTAGAACGCTGAGCTATCTTTTTTATCTTTATTTTTTGGACCCAGGGATTGAACTCAGGCCCTTGGGCTTGCCAGGCAAGCACTCATTTTACTGAGCCATCTCCCTGGCCCAACCGCTGAGCTATCTTGCCAACCCTCTAATTTCTTTTTTTGCAAGTGAGAATATTTTATATCAAAATTCTTTTTTTTTTACTTTTTACTTTCTCTTCCCTCCCCTGTCTCCCACCTTCCCCATTCTCAAATCTTCCTCCTGTCTCCAGATAGTTTATTTCCCTGTTTCCTATCATCTAACTTTATTTTGCTCTTTATTGATGCTTTGGGTTTCCCATGTAAGAGAAAACATACACTATTTAACCTTCTGTGTCTAATTTATTTTATTTAAAATTGTGGTTGTGAGGTGTATGCATTTTTTTACAAATACTTGTGCTTTTCCATGTCCAGCCTAGAGTAGTCAGCCATCCTCCAGGAAGCTCTAGTTTATGTTAATGAAAGAACGATGTTTAGAAACTAAAACCTAGGTACTTTCCCTCATGAATCCTCTTCTTAGGTTGTTTGAACTTTTTAATTTAATTTTAATTTTTTTGGTACTGGGAAGCAATTGCAGGGCCTCAGGCTTACCAGGCACGTGCTGTGCCACTGAACTATATCCCCAGTCCAGCTTGTTTGAATTTTGACACCCTGTATTGACCATTCTTTGCCCTCAACACACCAAAAAGCCTTGGTTGGCCTTACCTAACAGCTTCTGCACCAATTGTTTGCAGGAAAAAAAAGAAGCATAAAGTTAATTCTTTTTTTTGGGGGGGGGGGAGGGTCTACAGGGTGTTCAGGGTCTCATAGTGATCTGCCTGTTTACAGCCTCCCAAGGGCTGGGATTACAGGCATGCGTCACCATGCCCAGTCTCATTTGCCATCTCAGCGCGCCCCCAGGGAGCAAAGCTGGCATGGCAGGCCTGGGGATCGAGCCCCTGAACCTTGCGCCTGCTTGTAGGTGCTTTAATCTGCTGAGCTATCTGGCCAGCCCTGGACATTTCCTAGGTATGCAAATGATACCTTTACAGTTTGACCCTTTATGTTCTCGTGTACTTAGTATTTTTTCTCAGATCACTTTGTTTTTCTTTTATATTGTTCATCCTAAGCAATAATATTTGAAATCATGGATGTGATGAGTTATTTGGTGAGTTTCTTACATCCTTTCTAATATTCATTAAAATAATACAATATTAAAGTGAGAAAAGTTCATCCGTCCACTGCCTGATAATACCTCAGGTCCCTTTGCCACTCCCCGGGCAGCACTCGCATTGGTGGATTCCTGGCCTGCAGCCTCCTACACTTTTTGAGTGATACTTCACTGACACATCCTCTCTCCTTCCTCAGGTGAGGGCTGTACTCCAGGACATAGTGCAGTCTCACAGTGAGAACTGGTGTGCTCAGGATTCCAGCCTTGCTTATGAAAAAGCCTTTCTGGGAGTAACAGTGAAACTTCTTAAGTATGTGGCCCACATGGCTCCTGAAATGGCAAGGCAGGTGGCTGTCCCCCTGATGAGTATGATCAATAGCAACAGAGCCGTCTGTGACTTCATCAAGAGCCAGGGAGGATGGGTAAGTATGTTGGGCCCCTGGTTTTGCTAGACATTTGGACTCTTTATATTCATACCAGAAACTCTTCATTGTGACCCTTTTTGGAAGTAGGAAAACAGGCATCCCTACCCTGCAGGACTTTGTTGCCATGGAGTAGACAGAAGGGAACAGACAGAGGCTTGCCCTGTAGGGGTTGGGCTCCAGTCATGCTACCTGTACCGGTGACTACTGACGCTAATCTAATCCCCACTCCCTACACGTAAACATGTATAAGGTATATCAGTGGTGGAGCTCCAGTCTCAGCCTGGCTACACTCTGCTCCTTGGTAAATTTCTGGGTCTTCTTCCCTTAAAATCCTTAGGTGTGTGTTGAGGAAGCTCAAAATCATCTTAGGCCAGGCATAGTGGTGCATGCTTGTAATCCCAGCACTAGGGATCCTGAGGCAGGAGGATCATTGTGAGTTTAAGACCAGCCTGGGTTACAAAGTGAGCTCAAGGCCAACCTGAACTGTACAGCAAGACCCTGTTTCAAAAAGACCAAAAAAGGGGCTGCAGAGATAACTCAGTGATCTAAGCACCTGCCTGGCAAGCACAAGAACCTAGTTCGATCCCCAGCATGACATGTTGTGCAAGCTTCGTAGTGAAACCCTGTACCAAATACAGAAATTTAAATTAAAAAAAAATTAAAATTTGGGGAATGTTAAAGATTCTTTAAAAAAAAAAAAAACCATCTTAGTATTACCTAGCAAAGGGCTGGCCAAATAGCTCGAATTAAAGCACCTACTCGGGCTGATGCAGCAGCTGGGGTTCAATCCCTAGGCCTGCTGTGCTGGTCCTGCTCCCGGGGCGCAATGAGTTGATGATTGAGACTGGGCGTGGTGGTGCGCGCCTGTAATCCCAGCACTTGGGAGGCTGTAAATAGGAGGATCGCTATGAGTCTGATCTACATAGTGAGACCCTGTAGACCCTGTACTAAATACAAAAAAAAAAAAAAAAAAAAGAAGAAGAAGAAGAAGAAAGAAAGAAAATATCACCTAGCAAAAACCAGTGTGTCTCGCTTGGTAGTGATAACAGGAGGAAGCACGCTAAACCCAAGTCTGAGGAACTGTTAGACCTTGTGCTGTTGCAGAGCATTCCTCTCCCTGTTTAGGACTGGCTGTCTTTAGTCAGGGTTGTATTCTCTGGAGGTATCTGCAGGTTATTCCCGATTTCTAAAATCTATCCCTTTGACTACAGGATTTTCACTGTTTCCCTAGGAAAATCTGGAGAGCTGAAGAAGTTGAATTATTCTTGGCTGAGCTGCACTTCTTTGAGCAAATGATTAATTTCTGGCAATTAAAACAGAGAAATAAATTTAAAAACCACTTCTTCATTTAGTCAGAATGTATTTTGTTGACTAAATTATTTCCTACTGATAAAGTTGGAAACAGTTTCCAGAAGCCTACAGAGATTTTATACTGTTTTTATATGCATTTTAATGAGGTTTTGTTGATGCTAAAACCTCCAGACACAATACAATGATTTATTACTGAAATTTCAGGCAACAACTAGGCCTTTGCTGCAAATATGGTGGAGAAAGCAGAACACTGAAAACTATTTTTTTTTTTTTTTTTTTTTTTGTGGTACTGGGGATTGAACTCAGGACCCTGCGCTTGCCAGGCAAGTGCTTATTCTACTGAGCTATCTCCCCAGTCCTGAAAACTATTTCTTTATATTTAACTTGGTCTTTTTGTTAAGGATCTTATCTACTAATTTTGTAATATAAGGAATTTCAGGAAGATTTTTGGTTGAAAACTTTTCAAGTTAAGAATTTTCTTTCAAATTCATCCCTAAATTTGGTGTCAGTTTCATCTAGTCTGAACGTATTTTATGCAGTGTAGAGGCCGGAAGCCCAAAGGAGCAGTTTGTTTATCTACCCCTTTTGCAAAGGCCAAAGGTAAAAGTTAATGCATTTTATTGCCACAGGATGTAAGCAGCACCAACTGTGGCTAGGACAGCAGGGCCCTCCCAGCTTAGGTGAAGCTGGCTGCACACCTCAGGGATTGCATAAGCGAAGTTCACATACTGCTTGGACTTTATTAAATAGCCGCTCTCTTGGCCTCGTTCCTAGAAATTCTGATTCTGTAGGGACTGGCTGGGGGCTAGGAAACCAACTTTTCAACTCCATATGCAATTCAGAGGCATATAAAGCTTGAAAATCAGCGCTTTGGAGCAGGAGCTGACAAATGGCTGACCTCAGGCCAAATCGGGCTTCCTATCTTTGTGTAGAAGTAAAACTTTCCTCAGAATGGAGGGACATTGTCTTGTCCATGTGTTGCCCATGGCTGCCTTCACACTACAGTAGCTGACGTACATTGTTATGACGTACTCCACATGGTCCATCCAGGCCAACATACTTGCTAGTTGGCCCTGTAGGAAAAGTTTGCTGACCTCTGCTGTGAAGCTCAGTGAACATTTATTGCTCCTTGAATAATTTAATGTGTTAAAATCCTTACAATTCTGAAAACACAGTTGTAGATAGGCTTTAAACTCAAACATTCCTAACTCTTAAGAATTGAGTTTGCAAGCATTGTTCTTGCATGGTCCTTGTTCTTTCTAGGGTTGTTGGCCAACTGGAGAGTTCTGTGGCTCCCAAGTAAACTATGGAAGTTATACAAGTCCTTGGCCTTAAAGTGAGACCGATTGGAAGCAAAGCCTGGTTTTTATGATCTGTGCATCTCAAAGTAGTCCTTAATAATCTAACAGATTAGCCGGCAGCATCATGTACAGAGTCCAAAAACCAGAATACTTAACCTGAATGTCAGGAAGAAAACACTGCTATGTCTACTTCTGCAGTGAAGTGTCAGTGACTTGGGCAAAAGCCTAACCACTTCCCCTCCCTCGGCCAGCCACCTCCGAGACTTTCCTATATGCAAAGAAGTAAATAGGTGATGCTGTTTTATATTCTTTTACTTTTCTAAACTACACTTACTTCCTCAATTCCTGGGTAAATCACAATAGGTTAATAATCCAGAAATGTGATTTCTTATTACTGTAGAAATTAGCCTCTTTTGCTGCCAAAATAGCTGATGTACTCCTTGGTCCCTTTTGCTGTGAAATCAAGATGGGAAGTTTTGTGGTATTTGACCTTTGTGATCACTTTGACTAATGCTGTTCTGTTTATGAAATAAAATGTTTTTGTCTATGCAAATGTAAAGCTTGAAAATCATTTATTTGTTTCAGCAAATGCAAGCCAAATTGAGTGATAAATGCCAGCAATCCCCCTCTCTCCTTTTTTTTCCTTCTTACCCTATCAATTTCCTGTTTTATTCTATATTACTCATAAAACAGCATAAATTATATTGTAGTATAGTGTAATATCTTCAGTTAGGAAGACATGGTTCTCTTTGGGGTTACACTAGGCAAACGGGTAAAGCAGCTCTGGCCTGAGTGTTGTGTTTGTTGCCAGGCTATCCTATGTTAGGGAAGCTTATGGGGCTGCAGAAGAAGGTGTGATAGCCCAGAGATTAAGAATGCATTCAGATTCTCTGACTTTAGCAATTCACTTTCACCATAGACTAATTATGTAACATTGGGCAAGTGACCTAATTCTTTTGTGCCTTAGTTTCTGCACTGTAAAACAGAGATTTGATTTGTTTTGCTTTGATTTTTGAGATGATGTCTTGCTATGTAGTTCAGGCTTGTCTTGAATTTATTGTATAGCCTCCTGGGTGCTGGGATTACAGGCACATGCCACCATGCCCATTTTATTTATTTATTTTGTATTTTAGGACAGGGTTACAGGGTCTATAGGGTCTCACTACATAGATTGGACTTGTGATCTGCCTATGTTCAACCCCCAAGAGCTGAGATTATGGCGCGCCCTAGGGGCAGGGCCAGCATCGCAGGCCCAGGGATCAAACCCCGGGCCCCTGCATCTGCCTAAGCAGGCACTTTAATCCACTGAGCTATTTGACCATGCCAATTTTAAAGGAGAGGATTTATAACCACTGCCTGCTTCATTTATAAGGGATCAATGAAACAATACCAGTGTAAGATTTGAGCTTGACTTTTTTTCTCTATTGATTCTTTCATTGACGTAAGTCAGTCTTACAGCTTTAATCTTACCTCAGTGTGGTTGATTCCTATATATGGTTTATTTCCCTTCTTCCCAAATCCATATTTACAAACTCTAATTGCTTATTTCTGTGTGTTTTATACTATACTCTCCCAGATTGCCAATCACATAACCTGAAAACCTAATTTTTATCATTTCCTTTCTCCAATCCCAATTACCCCATTAGTCTTTCGTCTTTATTCTTTCCTCTTTGTCCTGGATATTACTGCCAGACTTTATTACAACTTGCTTTGATTATTGGTTGAACCTGTATTGCTTACTTTTCTTGTTGCTGATACAAAATACCTGACATCCAAAATTAAGGAAGAAAAGGTTTCTGTAGCTTTACAGTTTGTGCAGGTTTTGATCCATAATCAGCTGCCTCCGAGGCAGGATGGCACGTGGCCCAGGGGCAGCTGTTCATGATGGCAGCAGACAGCAAAAGCAACAAGAGCAAGCAGGGAGCACGAGATCCTTTTCCTCCCTTGTATTGTAAGCAGGCTCCCACCTAGGGTAGCATTCACGCTCTCTCCACTCTCTCCTCTCTTACACAGGATGAGTGTGTTTACAAAGTGGGGACCTTGGCCCCTGGTGAGTTAAACTTCTAAATTTTTGAAGTTGATGCAATGTGTCAGCCATTACAATCCACCCCTTGTCAATTTGGCAACCACACACATTTCTTCAAACCCGCACCCAGATACAAAGACATGCTTATTCTTATCATTTCACAACTTAAACATTTAAGAACCAGTATTAAGTTTATCAACATTATATTATTGCAGGGCCTGGGGAGATGGCTCAGTGGAATAAGCGCTTCCCTGGCAAGTTCAAGGGCCTGAGCTCAATACCCAGTTCCGCCAAACAAACAAACAAAAAAACTAAAAAAACCCATTATATTGTATTAGAACCATAACATTCTGTCTCCGCTCCCCCAACATTCATGCACCTTCCTTTGTGCAAAAGGCACTTAGTCTGTATCTCAGAGTTGCCAAAGTCCAAACAGGTTCAGCATTGCTGACAAGTCCAAGTCCCAAGTCTCCTCTGAGATGTAAGGAAAACTTGCAGCTGCAAGCCTCTGTACAAATGAAAAGCTAAATACTTCTAACTTCCAGTGGCATATGGCAACATTTCTATTCCGAAAGTTACAAATGGGGATACAAAGGATTGAGAGCAAAGCAAGTCCATAATCCAGCAGGGCAAATACCTGAGGCAAGCTGTAGCAAGTTATGGGCTGTAAAAGGCTTGGGTGCCTCGACCCCTATGGCACTGCCAGTGGTTATGCTATGGCAAGCAGAACACCAAAACAACACCACAGATTTGGAGACAGCTTCACTTCACACCAGGAATCCAAGGTGGTCCTGGTCAGGATCTCGCCCAACAACAAAGAGAGCCAGGCCCCACCCTTGGCGCTTTGGGGGTGGTACTGGCTTTCACAGACCTGAAGTACAGAGCCATAACTGTAGGTTTTACATATGACAGGCAAGGTATGGTGACTTTGGGAAACAGGGAACAGAAAATAGAAATATACTGCCCAAGATGTTGTGTCAATAAAAAACCAGGAAGTGAATTGTAGGCATCTGCAAAAAATTGAAGTGGCCATATTATATGGGGCAGGTTGGAAAAATAAAAATAGAACAAAAAGGGCTTTTCAATTCTGAGTGTAGCTTCCATGGCCTCTCTCTTAGGCCTGCTTTGCTTTCTCCTTGCAGCTTTCTTTAGTTAATCCATGTTCCTTGCTTTTCTAAACTTTGGGGGTCTCCACTGCACCTTTGGCTTCACACAGCTTCACACACTGCCCCTTCAGGGGCACACTGCCTGGCTGCCCAGGCCTTCTAAATACAGATGGAAACCTTCTTAGCCCCACAACTTTTGCATTTTGCGTGAACCTAAAATCAGTACCACGTGGATGATGCCAAGTTCTGCTGGAGCAGTAGCCGGGGCTTTCTTCTCTCTTGGCTATAGGGCTCGAGTGCCTGGATCTCTGGGCATTCCAAATCCAATTCTGAGGAACAAATTTTCTATGTTGCTACCATCTGGAACATGGGGCTCTGCAGCTTTCTCCCCAAAGCAAAGTCTTTCACCTTTGCAGTTTTGAGACCACATGGGGTAGAGACTTGCTGCTTCTTGTGATGCTCTCAAACCATCTTTTATATTCTCCTGTTCCTTCTGAGCAATGATTATCTCTTCAGCTCTACCTTTTCAGTCCAGTCTTACTGGAGAGTCCCTTCTGGCCAAACTCACATTTTAAATTATCCTGCTGGGCTCTTTGCTCATGATTCTCAACCTAAATCTGACCAGACGATCCCACCAATGGCCATGCCACCACCTCAACATTTGACTACCTTGAAATCTCTTCTGCCAGATTAATTAGTCCACCACCCTTAATATTATTCTCAGGCAAAATCGCTGGACATGAGCCAAATACAGACAAGCTTTCTGCCAAGCCGTAACACACATCATCTCAGCAGCCAATGCAGTCCT